GCAGAGAATGCAGCCTGGGGTCCCCTGCACTGCTTCTTCAAGTTCCCTCAGGCAGACTGTCCTTCCAAGGAGCCCTGCAGCTGGTCCTCATGACAACCCCTCGAAGTAGCCGTTTTCCAGTGTGTAGATGAAGGTCTGGAGGTTCTGAGACACTGAATAACTTGCTCAAGGCTACACAGCTAGGAAGAGGCCTGACCAGGACGTGAGGCAGGTGTGGAATATGAACCCACTTCCTCAATCCTCAGGCCCTGCCCCTGAGTCTAAGCTTAGGTTCTCCCCTCACCACTTCCTTCAAGAATAACAACGAACACTAACCTGTGCTGACAATGTGCCCTGAATGTTTGAAGCATTTCATTCCTTAATATCCACAAGGGGAAGATCTCTTTTTGGGGATCCAGCTATAAAACCCATTTACCATGAGCAAAACTCCAGCAATCCATGGGCTTCAAGTTTGGATACATTCCTGAATCCACTGGTTTTTAAAAGGCAGCTATCATGAACAGCAAAGAAAAAAAGCAGTTGTACAAAAAGGGGGGACTGGGACTGTCACAAACATTAGGGAGTCAATGACTCCATAATAAGTCATTGTTAGTATTGTTAAGCTGTAAGTGACCAGCACTTCGATGCATTTACTCACTTCATTGTACAAGGCAGGTGCCTATGACCATCCCATTTTACAGATGAGAAAAAGGAGGACAGAGAGGTAGACACTGCTAGTGAGTGGGAAAGCAAGGATGTGGCCCAGGGCAGAGCTTCCCCACTGCACCTATGGTTAGGTGCTTCAGCAGACAGTTCCCACTCAACTTGCAAATGATATTTTGAGAGAGATGTTTCATTTACAGATAAATGAAAATGATCTTACAACTGGGAAGAGCTGGTGCACCAAACAGAAAAGTGAAATGATTGAAAATGTCTTCCTCCTGTTTGAAAACACACACGTGACTCTTTATCTGAAAAGATTTAAATTTGGCCCAACTACACTGTTTGCCCCGATACCTGTGGGAGATCCAACTGCAGTCAGAATAATGATGCTGCTATATATGGAGGTCTGTGTAGAGGAGGGAAGGGAGAAAGACAGGCTTGGATGTATTTGTGTGGGGGTGTTCACCCTGTCAATCGCCAAACCCACATGCAATCAGACGCTCGTCAGACACCCTTGGAAAGGGAAAGGGTGATCGTAGACGGCAGCCCACTCCTGCTCAGGTGCCTGAAATAGACAGGAGCCATGGAGGAAACGACATCGAAGCCCGATTCCATATGCACGAGGGTGCCACACAGGTTTGTGCTGCTCCTTAGCCTGTGGGAATCCAGTCCCTCAGGTACAGGAAAATACACCAAAACGAGGTAGAATTAAGCTGCAGAGGACTGTCCTTGACTTTCTGGTAGAGTGTAATGTCTTCTGTGCATATTTTTTGAAACAGTCTGAATCAGCTAGAAAGTTAGTGCTCCCCACAGCCCTAGGAGGTTCCTTTCACTACCACCTCCATTTGAGAGCACATCAGTTGCTTACGGAATCCAATTGCATTGGGCTGGATGCAGCAACCATTTAAACTAATTTGTGGCAATAATCTTTTATTGAATCAACTTGTTTCTAGGAAGAACCTCCTGAGGGCTTCTGCTTCCCAAGCTGTGACCCAACAGGGAGACAACAGGTAGAAAAGTGCACCCAGCCTCGGGGTCAGGGCACTCAGACCATCTACACACCGTCAGGTCTGCTCTGAGGCTCAGCACCCCGTCTTTGAGAATCAGAGAGTGACATCCACAGGGTGAAATAAGCATCAGGGAGGGAGCCTGGCATCTGCAGCCAGATGGCTAGGGTGTGAGCCCAAGTGACCTTGGGCAAACTACTTGACCTCCATGACCTTTTGTTTCTTCATCTGTGAACAGGCACGGTTAGTACCAACCTATAGGATTGAATGAGTTGATAGTGTAAACTGGTGTCACAGTGCTGGCACACCACGAGGTAGACGTTAGCAGAGTTTTTTAAGGAGGCCTCCAGAGGGTGGTCTTCCTAAAACAGACCCACACAGACACGGAGGCCACCGAGCAGCCGAACAGGGAGCTTTTTCCAGCAAGCTCACAGGGAGAGTATCTTGTGCAAATTCTCCTCCCAGCCTCTGCCCCAGCTTCTGCTTCCCACCCTGCCCCGCTTCTGTCCCCCTCTCGTGGTTTTTGCCTCACATCCTGTGACTAAGGGAAACCGGCCACATAACGTGGAATAATTCTGGTTCAGAAGAGCAGACTCACTTCCAAAGAGAATATTTTAAAGGGAAAAGAGGATCTCGGCCCTTTTCTCATCCCTTTGATGTATTTCATGGACTCTGTGAACATTGTCACAAAAAGAGTTTTTACACTAAAAAAAAATGGTCAGTTTTTTTGCTTCTGTGTAGGAAGCCCTTTGCCAAGTTTAAAAAGTCATTTGATTTTTTAAAAAACTATTTTTTTTTTTAGTTGTAGATGGACACCTTTATTTTATTTATTTATTTGTTTTTATATGGTGCTTGGGTCGAACCCAGGGCCTCACACATGCCAGGCAAGCGCTCCATCACTGAGCTACAGCCCCAGACCAAAAGTCATTTGATTTTTTTTTTTTAAAGTAGGAATTGAAGTCACACCAGAGTAGGTTTGGAAGTATAGGGTAATTCTTGGAGAACCACAAATAACAACCAAATGCTTTCTAATATGCGCCAAGGAATTTCAGAAACTTGCTGCAAATTCCCGTTGCTGTAGTATGTGTGTGCCTGCCTGGCTCGCTGGGGCATTTTGCATGTGTGGATCCATATATAAGAGCTCTCTTCTTCACAGACACCCACACACCCTATAAATGGCTTTGAGTACTTACCTAAATAGATAAGTACTTCTTAAAAATAAAAACGTTCTGACCCAAAGCAGTTGCATAGAAATGCACCCACGGGAAGGAAAGGGGGAAACGGATTGGGCCCAGCCACTGGAACAGAAGCAAGAATGGTTAAATATTGTATTGAAAATGCAATGGATTTGAGTTTGATTACATTTTTTTACTTTAATTTTTATGTGTATAAAATGTGTGTCACATAAAAATGGAAATTATAGGGGCTGGGGATATAGCCCAGTTGTTGGAGTGCTTGCCTAGCATGCACAAGGCCCTGGGTTCAATCCCTAGCACAACAACAACAAAAAAATGGAAATTATAAATGTAACCCAAAATTTTAATAAAAATTAGAATAATCATTCTGGTGTTGCTGTGAGTAGAGAACATGCTTCCAAATCGTACGGCCTGAGAGGACTGAAAGTCTTTAAAAAGAATCTGCTTCTGTTTCCTAAACCAAATAATTTGGAGTATTAGATGACACAAAATAGTTAAAATTTAGGGGCCCAAAGAACTGCATCTGACCCTACCGCATCTTTGTACGGCTGTGTGACCTCAAGTACATCCATGGGCCTCGATTTTCTCACTTATCTAAACAGTGGACCAAAGGACACTTTGAGGACACGTCCACGCCTGTTACTGCAGGCTGTACGCCATGACCCTCTGCTACGGCTGTCATCAGCTCCAAGGACTCATAGAAACCTCCTTTTCTTAACTAGACTGATGAATTCCTCCCAAGTTTTTAGTAATGATTTTTCATGGCAAGCCCTCCCTAAATAATGGGGTGACTATTTCCACCCAGGTCACCTTCCCAACAACCTGGGGCTAACTGCTTCCTTTGGGCTTGGGACAGGGTAAAGAGCAAAGGACTTGAAACCTCACTAGGGGCCGGGGCATTGCCTTGCTGTGTAGTGATGGTCCTGCCCAGGCTGCTGTCACTCAGCCACAGGTCACATAAATTCACATGCTCAGAATCTAGTAGTGTCCTGAATAAGGAATACATAGATTTCCTTCCATGGTCAAGATCTAATCTCATGCAAGTGCTTTGGTAAGAACATTCTTATTTTTTAATATGTCTTCCATTTTAATGGGAAGAGTTGGAATCATTGTTGTGAATTGCACAGAATTCCTCTGAGTGGCAATGATTATCTCATTCTTATATATTAAGATTCACAGAGTTGAAGGAAGTTTATTCCAGGTTTCTCAAAGACTCCTAATGCCCCAGGAAAGAGATGAAGTAGAGCTTCCTAACTTGGTACCCAGAGTTCAGAATACATTGACTTCTTACAAAAGTTATTAACTGATCTACCCAGTGTTATTTTGGATGGATATATTAGAAGAAAAGTACAATGTGCCACCATATTGGGGAAGGCAGAGGAAAACTGGTTCTCCTTGGATCCTTACAGGTAAGACCAGCCCTTGTCATAAATAGTCATGACTCTCCCGATGTACGTCAAACACCTTCTTCCCACACTTCCTTCAAATCCCCGAGTGCTGCCTTTTGAAAGAGGCCTTGTCTGATTGGCCCACAGGAATGCGATCCCTTGACTCTGCTTTAATTTTCTACTTTCATTTTCGTCACATATTCGATATTTTGTCTATGCATTTGTCTACGTGCTCTCAGGAGCAAGCAGGCCTCCTGAGCTGGGAGGAGTGGTTTTGCTCCTCTGTATCTCTGGTTCAGAGAACACATGTTGTAGGTACTGAGTAAGTTCTCAGAGGAACAAATGTCAGAGTCTTCGAGGTGAATAAAGGTTATTGAAGAGTAAGCAGAAATGGCTGCATCGGTACCTTAGGCGAGTGGAGATAGCTATTCCAACACATCGCCACCAAATGTCCTCCCATCTCAACCTCCATGATGGGCATTTCCAGTGCAAGGTTTTATAATTATTTCGCTTTCATGGGCTGTCAAAAATGACAGTTTGATGTCCAACTCTATTTATGTCTTTGTGAAGTACTGGAGCTGCTTCCCCCGGCCTGGATTTAAGTGGAGGATTCATCAAACATCACGTTTAACAATGGAAAATGTCCCAGAAAGCACTGGTCTTGGCTCTAGCTAACAGGGGTTCTCAAGAAGAGAGGAACCTTCCCAAGCCACCCTCACCCTTGGGCTACAGAGGTGTTCCTGCCATCAGATCACCAGAGCACTTACTGCCAGAGCAGGTGGCTTCACTGGGGCTGGAAGACATCGGCTGTGCACACAGTTGACAAAGGCAGTCTCTCCCATTGAACGTGACTCGATCTCCAGGTGGAAACGGGCGCCTAGAGGCAGAAAGACACAGTCCTCAAGGTTACTTCAGCAACATCATTCCCCTTCCTTGCGTCTTCAACTTGCCTTCTGGTGCAAATTTATTTCCTGGAGGAGCACCAGCTAAAAATGTCTGAAATGCAGTCATGCCCAAGCCGGCCAGCTGGATGTGGTCCAAACAAATAAATGTACCTCATTATGAGTAGAAAAGAGAAGCCACTGGTTTTTATGGGCAACTGGATAGTAAAACGGAATGATTTACCTCCACTCCTTAGTGGAGGGATGTCCCAACAAGTCACCCAGCAGGCACACAGGACAGTAAATTTCCAAATGGAAAATCTTCACCAAGAAACCTTTTAAATACCGTGAATTCCAGCTAAGTGCAGGGCCCCTCCCCAGCAGAACTGGTTATAGGCCAAGCATGAACTCTTTCAGTTCCATGGGACCACACCCAGAGTGCTGGGATAACTATGCTGAGTTAGATTTTGTCCTTCCTGGACATCGGAGTATTGCACAGTCCTGGGGACCCAGTCCTTTATAAGCCAAGAGAAATAGGACAGGCAATAAATATCTGTTTAAGAATTAATAGTAGCTTCTTTCCAGAATGACACTTTCCTTTTACATTAGACATTCATCAGTAATAGCACATTGCCACTAAATACCACCATCTTCAGTTACCATTTCTCATCCCAGTTTACCAAGAGACAGCCTTTAAAAACAAGTCATTAGTTAACAAATGACATGCAGTTTCCATTTCTGTTAACTTGCAATTGGCCAATTGGCCAACACTCTTCATCAACATGAGTTTTTAAATGTGTGACCCTGTCGATTAGGAAATGTGAAACTCACAGCGAGACATCATAAATCAGAGTCAGAAGCAATTGTTTAGAGCAAATCTGAGCTTCTTGACATTAGTTTTTAACTTTCTCAGCTGCTATCTCCTTTTTTAATCACCTGTCTGTGACCTAACAGTTGGTGATTGACTATATGCACAGGTAAACTTGGTCTTAACTCCACAAATGTGTCTGGTGCCAGTAATCAAGAAGGGCAATGTGTGTGTGTGTGTGTGTGTGTGTGTGTGTGTTTAAATATGTACTAGGGATTGAACCCAGGGGCACTTAACCACTGAGCAACATCCCCAATACTTTTCTATATTTTGTAGAGAGATAGGGTCTCACTGAGTTGCTTAGGGCCTTTGCCAAGATGCTGAGGCTGGCTTTGAACTTGCAATCCTCCTGCCTCAGCTTCCTGAGCTGGTGGGATTATAGGTATGCCGCTATGCCTGGCATGGGCTTTATATTTGTACACCCTCAAATATTATTCAAAGTCCTAAGAAGAGATGGGGCCCTCTCTCATTTTTCATCATCTGAATAAGCCCCAGAAAGGGTAAGAGACTTGCCTGGGTTGACCAGTGATGGAGACTAGACAGGTGCAGATGGCATCTACCATCTACCATAATTTCTTAATTATGATTTTTAAAATATGTAATTAAGAAATTTAATTTAATCAAGAGTGAAACTTAACTCTGTCTTTAATAAGCAAAATCACTGCTCTGGTGGGTGCCAGTGGGCCTATGGCTTCACACTGACAAGTTAAACCTGAACAGGCCTCAAGTCCATTCTGTAAGGAGGCTTAAGGGCCCATCAACACAGCAACTCAACAAGCACAGGTTCTTCTGCCTCTGAGGAGGGCCAAGACTGGGGAGAGGCAATAGAGGCACCTGTAGCTCAACATGTCAAGAAATGCCCACTCTCTGGCTGGGGATGTGGCTCAAGCGGTAGCGCGCTCGCCTGGCATGCGTGCGGCCCGGGTTCGATCCTCAGCACCACATACCAACAAAGATGTTGTGTCCGCCAAGAACTAAAAAATAAATATTAAAAATTCTCTCTCCCCTCTCTCACTCTCTCTTTTATAAAAAAAAAAAAAAAGAAATGCCCACTCTCCAGGGTTGACCAGCATTCTCCAGATGCCCAGAACAAGCACTCCAGGATCCTTGCTTACCTCACCCAAGTCCAGGCCCCCTTCTCATCCACACTTTATTTTTTTTAGACATGAATCCTCTATGGCACAACCCAGAGACCAGTGTTCAATGTGTGGCCAGGCTTCTGAACTTGAAGTTTTGTACCTGGTGGCACTCTTTCCAGTACTTTCCTCTCTCCCTACATCCTCTGATCATATGGGCTCACTTCCTTCTGTTATTTGAGTGAATGTTTGTAGTAGGAGGAGAACTGGATTTCGAGGAAGAAAACCTGAGTTCAAATTTTAACCTTCAACTGTTAACCTACAAAAGTCCCTTAAACTCTGAGACTCAGTCACTCAAAAGTAGGGTTATTAATTCCAAATTGACTTCACAGAATTGCTAACAGGGTTCAGTTCAATTCTATATGAACACAACTTGTGAACCACAAAGGAGGCCTCAATTCAGGTAGAATTATCATCATCTAGAAGCAGCAGTGGCCACAGCCCTATAATACAGTCTGAGCAACCTTAATCCACAAATCTGAAATGTTCCAAAATCTGAAATATTTTTGAGTGCCCATAAAATGCCATGGTGGAAAATTCCACAGCTATCCTCCTGTGGCCACAGTCAAAATGCAGGTGCACTAAAAGTGTTGTATAAAATTACCTGAGGCTTTGTTGTGTAGGTGCATACGAAAAATGAATTCCATGTTTCAACTTAGGTCCCCAAGATGTCACCTATGTAAATGTTCCAAAATCGAAAAAACAAAAAAACTGATGTCCAAAATACTTCTACTCCCAAGAATTCCGGATAAGAGATACTCAACCTGTAGCAACAGCAACATCTCTGTTGCCCCACATGTCCAGGGACAGGGCTCTGATTGGTAAGTGTTTGGCCATCAGTACACCAATTTTAAGACCATGATCTCTCATGATCAAGAACAGAAGGGCCCTCAGAGTTTACCCGGAGCAATGGGGCTGGGTAACTTCACATTGGGAACCCTCCAGAAACTACTGTATTGGTATGTGTGTCTTAGCAGAAAAGCAGGATAGAAATTGATATTTTTAAAGAGATCCCAGCCCTATCCAATCCAGAAGTTACAGTGACTGGCCAGACTTTGAGGATCTCTCTCAGCTAGTCCACAGCCCTTTCTTTTATAGCGGAGGCCACTTCCTTGAAAAGCTATTTATAAAAATCTCAACTCAGCCCAGGAAGTGGGGCTCGGACCTGGGTCTCCTCCATTGTCAGCCCAGGACCCTTAACCAGGCTGTGGGCCATAGCCTGAAAAAGGAGGAGTCAGGATGGAGTTTCAATTTTGATTAAATCAGAAAAATGATTAGATTATGAATCTAGAATTTCTTCATTAGGATTTTTAAAATATGTAATTAAGAAATGGGCTAAATGCTATGAACTTAAATAATTTCGTTAAGAGTATTTCACTTGTCACGTATCACCTTGTTGATTATGCAATATTAAATCTACCCTTCCAGAGTCGACGTCTCTCTGACTTAGAAACATGAAACACTGAAAACCAAAACAAAACTCTGAATGGCAGTTTCAGATAGGCCAAGCGAGAAGCAGCTGGGTGCCAGAGGACATGGAAATACTGAACTGGAACTGACCCACACAGAAGCTGGCCCTTGTCAGCAAGTCTCCTGGTCAGAAGAGTCAGACCCATTTTAGTTTTATGATCTGTTTCCCTCACCACACAACAGCAAAATTTCCCACTCGCATTTCACAGTTTCCTTCTTCTCTGAGACTGATCATTTTAATCAAACTGGTTTGTGCAATTAAGTTTTAACTTTGGAAGGTAGATACCTAGACAGCAGGGGTTGGCAAACTCCTTCCCTAAAAGAAGATTCTAAATGTCCTTATGGGCTCTGTGGACCACATGGTCTCTGTCACAGGCTTACAACTCTCCTTAGCAGCTGCAGACAATATACAAACAAATGGGCATGGCTGTGTGCCAATAAAACTTTATTTACAAAAACAGACATTGGGCCTCATTGGGCCTGTGGGCCATAGTTTGCCAATATCAGCCAGAAACAGACTATTTTAAACACAGACATGCAAACATCTATGCGAAAGAACATGTACTTCCAAATTAGCTTTTTCCTACTAAGCAGTTGTCCATTTCCTCCAATATTTTCATTATTCTAAATGTTTGGAGCTGCCTGTAGCCTTGGTTTTAAGTCACTTAAAGTCATGTCGTGTTACTTTGTAGAGGACATCATGTATGAAGCTTCCCAACCAAATTACATTTTTTGACTAAGATTGAAAATACAACAGGAAGAGAATATTAAAAAAGAGACATTTAAAAACTAAGTGCTACTCAAGACCAAAAGAGCTATCCCAAGCTTGAATGGCTAAAACCAGTGTCTCTCTGTTGGAGGAAGCTGTCGACTTGGGCAGATAATCACTTACTTGCAGATTGTACAAGCAAAGCAGTTGGGATGGTAGGTCTTGCCCAGGGCAGTCACCACCTCGCCCTCCACGAACTCCCCACAGCCATGGCAGCGTGTCCCGTACATCCGCTGGTAGTCCAGGGTGCAGAGGTACTCCCCGTTCTTTATGAAGAAGCCCCCTTGGGCCAGGTCACAGCCACACACTGTAGAAAGACAAGTTCACATCTGCTCATCATCTGGCAAGCGCTGGCATCAGTGGCCTTCAACTGAATGCTGGTTGCTCACTGTGGTTTCAGTGGTTTGGGGCTAGGGGAGGGGACGGATACAAAGAGCTATTTATTGCCGGGCTCTGCTTTCTCTCTTGCCTCCCTCCCCTTGGGAGATACGCAATATCTCACACAAGTAAAATCCACTGGCTGGGCCTCAACCGCTTTCGTGGCATGTCTAAGATTTAGAGGTAATCAAACAGCCTTTGATGGAAAGATATGCTGGGTTCAGGTTGTCTCAGATATGAAGAAAGGTGTCCCTGGCAGTGCTATTAGGAAAGGTGCCCACCACTTGCCCTCACAACTGCGTGGTTTGAGCCAAGATTGTTACTGAGTTGAGTAATAAGTTCCCATTATACCAAAAGCAGTGACTGAAATTTCCAATAGCTATTTTTTTTCACACTCTGGAAATACTTTCCCCTAGCTATGAAAAATTGAGACATTGAATTTTTCCCTTTATGCAATCAATAGGATAAGCTGATTATTCATGTATTAGAAAAAGAGAGACAAAAATGGATGGGCAAAAGAAGAAAGAAAAGGGGACATGCCTAGGATAAAACTGACATTCGTGACCTTAGTACATACAAAAGAGAACGTTTCATTGTGTCTGGATTTTGGTGTCTCTTTCAAAACTGCACAGCTGTGGAATTTGGAGCTGATGCAAACAAGCAAGTCTTGGGATGCCAGGGACTTGGGCCGGTCTGCATGTTCAGACCAGATCCAAGCAGGTCACAACAACTTGTCCCCAATAAAGCCTAAAGCAAAACCTTGATAGTAAGACCTTGTCTGTTTCCACTGACAGACTGACAAGTAATAGCTAAAGCTGGGAACCTCTGGCCTTCACTGCTCCATCCCCAGGCTCAGGTGACTCCTGTATAACTAAGGCTCTTAGGCAAACAACCCAGGATTCTTGATGATTCCTGGCAGGGGCACTCAGGTGGAGAGGGGACAAGGTGAGTTCAGTCACTAAAACGCTTTCCAAAGGAGCTTCAAGAACACCTCCAGGGTTCCCCCTGATTAGTTCCCACAACTTATTAATGCACCTGATGAATTAATGCAGAGCCCAGATTCTGATGGAAGTAGCTCCTCCCCCACCCTCGGCTAGCACTCTGAAAGATATTCAAGGTGACACAGAAGCCACAAATGAGCTTTACACTGTGGACTCATCTGTCTTTGTTTAGCCCAACACTCCACCCCTATGACTTTCTTTGCAATTTATAATTAAGTAACCCAAGATTATGGCTGGAGTCCACCACGCCTAAAACCAACCACACTATAAATACTACTGTGATCATATTCTCTGGAAAACAGCTAGTCCACCACCTGCTGCCTCCTCTAACCTGCCAGCATCGCCTCCTGCCCCACAGATCTCACACCTGCTCCTTCCTTACCAAGTGGGCTGCAGGGAGCCCAAGGATGGACTAGCCTCATTCTGACCACAAATTCCTCCAAAAACAAGAAACAATGAGTGGGATAAAGCGGTGTCACAGAAAACCGTGCACACGCCAGGCAAGTGCCCTATCACCGAGCCACGTCCCCAGCCTGGGAACACAATTGAATCCTATCTCCAACTTGGCAGGGCCCTACCAGTTTCCCTCCTCAGGGACATTAGCAGTTCTGATGACTCAGTTACTCTTCCAAAATTGGTTACTTCTCAAATCTTTAATTCACTAGTCCCTCTCTTTACTCTCTCCTCCAAACATATAGTCTGGGTACAAAAATTCATGGATTGTTTATAAAAAGATCTGGTGACAACAGGATCATCTTCATGCCAACATACATTATTGAGACAGTTTCAAAGCTAATGTTGAAGGCAGTGGAATTTCTCTGGGCCTTCCTTAGGGTCCCTCTCCATGCCGTCTTTTCTGGTTCACATGATTTTGTGAAACTCTTCTTTATTAAGTCCTAGCTTTTCTGAACTTTTATTTTTAAAAATGACTTTTTAACTCTCAAGAGATGCAAACTTCACCCCACTGTGATTTGATTTGGCTTCTCCCTTGATTTCAAAGCAGTGGCCCAAGTTGCCTTACCAAACGATGCCAGCTTTTTCCTGGTGTTTAGGACAGCAAGGAAACCAGGGTTTCAAGAGAGACTCTAAAAAGGAGCCTGAGTCCTGATCGGCACATGTGACAGGCAATGAGAGGGAAAGTTCATGAGGCCAATACATGAACGATACTTAACATTTTTACTTTCCCAAGATTGGAATAGCAGTGGCACGATCCCAGGTTCTTTCCTCCTCTTTATCTCTGAACATTCCAGCTCAGTCTCAGCAGCCACGCCCCTATATACAGGTAACCCCCAGGGACACTATCTCCTTTCCTAAAATTTAAGGCCTCTTGGGGACAGACCTCACCACTTTAGCTGAGACTTTGTGCAAAGGATTCTCAAATCAGTCTGACCTCTCTCTGCAACGCTTCCTGCAGGCTTCAGACCCAAGGTGCAGCTGCACCCAGAGCACAGCCCATCTCAAGCCCAGCATTTTCCAACAGGTCCTATCCTCTCAGCTCCCCTGAAACCCCACCTTAAAATCTGCTTTACTACTTCTGTTTCCTTGCAATAAATCAGCAGCTGCAGCCTTTCTCCCATTCTTATAACAATATTTTCAACTGGCCACTAAATCTAATCTAGTTCCTCAATAACATGTTTCTCAGATCCTTTTCCTCTTCTGCCTCCTACCCATCACTGTGCAGACCCTGCCCTTCAGCCTTGTTCTTCTGCATAGAATTTTGTTATAATGGTATTTGCACTGGCAGAAAAGGAAAAAAAATTGGAACCAACTGAATTTACATCAATGCAACAATAGCTGAATAAATTATGGCATGTTTAGTCTATGGAGCTGGCATTAAAAAAAAAAAACTAAATCAGAACAATACATAAAACCAGCGCACGGTGCTATATCATGAACAAGGAAAGCAAGTTCACCAAAACAGAGGGTTATTAAGTTGGTTCTCTCTGGATGATGAAGAATTATTAACTTTTTCTTCATATGCCTAAATGTTATCTCATCTACAAATATTTTAACTGATGATATATATATATATAAAATTTAAAAATGATTAGGATGATTATGAAACATAAAATATGAATATTCATATGAAACATAAACTGAGCCATCATCATCATTTTTAAGTAGACAGCTTGGTGGCCCTGAGCACATTCATACTGTCACAATACCATCCTCCACCACAGAATCCTCATTTTTCTTGCAAAGCTGAAACTCTGTGCCCCATAAACGATTACTCCTTTTTCCTTCCTCCCTCCAGCCCCTGGAAACCGCTGTTGTATGTTCTATGAATCTGACTGCTCTAGGTACATCATATCAATGAAAGCTCACCTTTCATTGATATTAAGAAAAATTATCCAAAACCTAAATAACACCTTTAACAAGGTACAGGGAGGAAGCATGTTTTTTCAATGTCATTCTGAAACATTCCTTAACAGCGCATGCAGGAACAGACACATATCAAAAGAAGTAGTACAAATGATCAATAATTATAAGAAAAAATGTTCAACATTTTTAGCCATCAGGAAAATGCAAATCAAAACTAAACTGAGAATCCATCTCACCCCGATCAGAAATACAGCTATCAAGAATACAAATAACAATAAATGCTGGCAAGGATGTGGGTGGGAGGAATGCTTGTACC